TAAAAAATAAACCCTGTGTACAAGATGAAGCTGGTGGAAGTAATAAAAACAAGATAAACTGTTAAATTACAGGGGCATAAAAATTAAGTATTCCCCATGTGAACCTACTCATGAATGACCTGTTTCCTTTTTTTGCCACTTTCCTATTTTTCTGATGCCATGGCTTAACCCAGCTCAGCCTTCCCCCAGCACTGCAGTACAAACCAGCACCATCAGCACCAGGTAAGTGTTCAATCTTAGCACTTCCCCCTTCTGCTGCTGAGCTACAGCACACAAACAGGTATTTTTATTCATCTTCCTACTCCCTTTAGATTAAATAATTTTTTCATTTCTCTTCCCCAGTGAGGTAGGGAGCACAAAACACTCAGCACACTCTGTCTTTATTTCTTACAGGCTGATTTGTCTACCATCCTATCCTAACAGACTCATATCATTCCCTAGAATACTTTAATTCCTCTTCTCCACAGATGCTCCAGTTGGGGTTGTTTGGGGTTTTTTGAGCACACAAGTGTATTCAGTACTACCAAGGACTATGGGAATCCTAGTATTTCTTTCCTTCACTGAAATAACTTCTTCCAAGATGCCCCTTTGCATTTTTTATGCATAAGAATGGTGGCTTATGGCAGCCTTAGGATCAGAAAAGACAAATAATGAGATGATCCCATTAATTCTTTAGGCCTTCAGGGACACAAAATGGGAAAATGTGGAATTATTAAAGGTAAGTCTAATAAGAGTAAAATACAAACTAGGGTGCAACTAGCTAATAGAACCAAAATGTACCACGGACGTGCTAAGAGTGTCTCTTCAAATATAGTAAAGGAAAGAGTTCACAACAATATATCTAAGAGTAAGAGAAATATTCCAAATCCTAAGAACCAGTAATATTAACAAAAAGACCTGTTTACAGAATCTACCAGCTACTGCTGCATCTCCTATAAACAACTGTGTAAACAACCACTCTCTTTCCCCTGTAATTCTCTGTGCTATTTTGCTGGATTCCCAACAACCATTTTAATGGTACTTACTGCCAAGGAGCATCCTCTCACGGCCATAATTCAAGGTCCTCAATAGCTACTTCTCTGTTGTGAAATGTAATGTGAAGGACAAACACCACCAGCCACAGCATAACAAGTTCTAATAAATTGCTTAATTAATGTGTTCAATACAAATGACAAATTATGTTACATCCTTTACTTCCATGTGTTTAATTATCTTGTCTTTCAAAACATTTTAAGAAGTCTTACATCACACAACCAGTCTAAAAAGCCAAAGATTTATGGCTGTGGGCTGATTTCATCATTTTATTTCCTTCTTTTTCACGGAGTTCAGCTTTTTGCCTAGATTTAAGGTGTATGTAAATCTATTCCTAAACACAGAATATGAGGTAAGTATGAAGTGCTACATGGGAAAAACGCAACTCTGATTTAGTCTATAAAAAAATGGCCTCCCGGTAATGTTAATGTTCAGGATAAAATAATCAAGTCCCAGAAGATTCCACTGAAAATACTCAGTGACAAGTAGGTGTCAGAAAGGAAAGAACTGGACAAAAGGAAGGCAAAAAAGCATTAGTGATGTTCTTGTAACCTCCAGGGAGGGGAAGAAGATTCAGCAAAAGGTAAAATTTGATAACATCTTTTTTTCTTTTATATTCCATTTGATGTATATTAACCGTGAACTAAAAAAATAGGTAGGGAAAATGAAGTTCTGTAACATTTAGAAAGAGTAATGATTTAGGGGTTTATTTTTAGAAGTCAAATTTACTGTCACATGTCTGGCACATCTGACAAACCCAGAAGTGCATGGTACAGAAGGAAAATTTTTTTAACATCCTTGTCTGTACGATAGACTCCTTAACCTCATAGGTTACTGAGCTGGGGAGGAAAACAGGTAAAAGCATATCTACATATTCTACATGAGAAGGGATTTATTAGTACATGTAAAGGATGTATCCTCCATCCGACGTGCAAATTCACACTTCAACATTTTCACCATGTGCTCCCACTTCAGCCTGCACTGAATTTATGCAGTTCTGGCTTGGATTTCCAATACAGTTTTAGGTCACACACTGGCAGAGAACAAAAATTCACCATAGAAAATTCACAGCTGCTTCAAGAGACACACTGAAATGTGCAACTTGAATTTTCCCTCATATGCATAGGCATCAAATGTACTGAGAAGAGAGGTTACGGTCCCTGTATAAAACATGACTCAGAGGACTGGAGATGGTCTTAGTCTGATATTACACACTGCAACCAAAAGAATAATTATGGACTAGAAAGGGACTTAAGAATACACTTGGATATTACAGGAGCAGCCAGGATTAAATGTCAGTCTTAACAGTGATTTCCTTATGTCTCTGACTGCTCTGTTAGGTGGTGGGCTTTAGTAGCTCTCCTTAATGTTAATCACAAGAGCTTAGGGAGCAGAGACTGCTACAAAGTACAAAACCCCCAATCTAAGCCTTACAAACCTCATGAACATTCTTCTAATTTTATGTATATTAACTCTGACAGAATTGTCTCATGGTAATCTTCTGCATATTCCTACAGATTACTCACAGACTGAAGGAACACACTAAAGCATTTAAAGAAATTCCAGTTACACTGGCTTCTAAAATGCTTCCAATTAGCTTGCATGTGATCTTGTCCCTCTGACAGGCTCTGTAACATTCAAATTGTTGTATTAATGCATATACACATCTAGAATAAGTGCATAATTTGGTGCTCAGCCAGTTGTGGCTAATGCATTAAGCAATAATGCTCATCTAAAAAATATTATTGTATTTGGTATCACACTTCAAATAATGGATGAAAACTGGCCTTAAGCTTTAACCCACAAAACAAGGCAAGTTATGCAGTATAACATCACACAGTCTGTACAATTATTTAAAAAGTCTCAAGAAACTTCACTGAAAACCATTATTTTGCTTCACAGAGTTGGCCATAATTAATTCTTGGTAGATTTTTTTAATCAAACTGTGTAAAAGATCAAGCTACTTCCTCATGTAGAGCTACAATTCTTGAAAACTTCTTTTTTGGGAGTAGGATAAGTAGGCAAATTTGTCATTTTCAGCTGAAGATGACACATATTTTCACAGCATGAATATGTGAAATTAACCTTTTCCATCAGTATTCTGTTCATACTCTTTTCTTTATTCTCTATATAGTTTTCAATAAATTTTAACATCATGTTTTAAACATCTCACTCATTTGACTCCATAGAGTCCAAAGCCTTTCTTTGTTCCTTGCATGCTTCTCCTAAGTTATGTATTTCATTGTTTTCATAGGCCTGCTTTCTGCTACACTGGAAAACTTTGTTCAAAGATGATAAGAATTTGTGGAAACTGTCTTTCCCACTCCCCAAAGATGCCTCACATCTAAATCTCACTTGGGAATTTTCATACTCACAGGTATTTACAGTCTTCATCCTTGTTTCGGTAAAGCCTAGGGCTGCACATGTCTTCTGGTATATATCATAAATGAAAAGCTACATGAAACACCACATTTCATTGCATTTAAGCCATCTCTCCCATTTCAAAGCTATTGAGATTTAACCCAAGACTGATGAGAATGAACAAACTGCATGTCAAGCACCCCTTGACATTTTAAGAAAATATGAACTAAGGGTAAAATGAGGACAACTCTTTCTGGCCACCCAAGCAGTGCATTTTCCTCAAAAGGGTCACTGTGAAGGGTAGCACAACACAGTTAGTTCAGTCTGCCTTGCTCACAGAGTCCTTGAACTGTCAAAATGGGCAACACTGGGCAACCAACATCAGGAGCACCTCGAGTGTGTTTCCTTGTATGCTCACTAAGCACCTAAGAACTGAAATTGCAACCCCCCTACCTGACACTCTGCACTTAGTTGACTTATCAAGGTTTGTTTTACAATTCATGTGTTTTTTACCTTCTCATTTCTCCCTCTGAATCTATTTCTTTGTTTTATCCACAGTACCCAGTCACTGGCTTTTAACATCACACCAAATATTTTCTTTTTCAGATTAAAACGTTCTCAAGCTGATTTTCAGGTTAAGCAATACTAAGGGGAAAAAAAAAAAAGAATCCCAAACAACTTGCTGAAGTAGTACCAGCACTGCGTGGTAGAATTCAAGCTGATTGGAATTCAAGGGGGAAAAACCCAACCCACATAAAATATTTTATTTGTAAGATCTTTTCTTAGTGTTTACATATTATGCAAGTATAACTAGCAAAGAACCAGTGCTACTGCTTTCTTAAAGTAGCAGGAAAGAGTAGTAATGTCTGCATACTCCCACCTCCTTCACACTAAGAGGCAAAAGAAAGTTAAGTGAACAAGTGATCCATATTCCCTGGCTGTACAAAACAAGCACTACTCCTGTACTTAATCAGGATTCCCAGATTCAGGATATATTGATGGAACAATTATACTGTTTGGTTTGTGGGATTTTTAGGAAGAATTCTGTTTCTATCACAAATTCATAAAGTGCATGTGTACAGCAGACAATCATTTAACTGTAGAAAAAGTACAAGGCCTCTTTGGAACATGGACAGGAAGAGACTACATGAAAAAAAGCCATTTTGCACAAATTCATCTGTCTCACGGCATGATCCCAAACATTCAATATGAGAAAACGAACTAATTATTTAACATTTGCATGCAAATTACTTATTTTGGGGTCTTGAGGCATGGCTCCTTGTGTGATCTTGGGCCAGTTTCTGAATCTTACTAAATCTCCTGTTCCTTATTTGCAAAGCAGATTAATATTAATTATGCAGGATGGGGTGAGATTAAATTAACTCGAGGTTGTAAAGGGCTTTCTGATCTTCAGATACTATGGAGAAGAAGGACTAGAAAAATCCATTTAAGAAGCAAAGAAGCATGTAAACCCATGGCCACACAAAAAACATTTGGTACATCAACTTCATACAGAAAATTTGTACTAACATTTCTTTGTAGTAGCAGCAAAAATTATATTAGCAGAAAGAATAAAATATGTATATTAAAATAATTAAAACACTTACTTCTTCCTAATTTCTATGTCTGAAACTGGAACACATCTCAGGCCAGCTCCCAATACCATGAGGGATGACGTTAGTAACACTGTTACCCTCAGACCTAAGATGAAAAAACAATAGTATTTTATAAGTTAAATCAGTAATGTTGCAAAAGAAACATTGCTTAAATATATATATCTATATATTTACATGCAGTCTCACAGAAATAACACATAACATATGAAATAACACAGAAATAACACATATTCATATTTCTTTCATATCATAAGCACTTTGGTGCTGATACAAATTCCAGACACATGGAAATTTCAGACATTATGAAATCCTGAGTTATTTCTACACTTGTCCTCCAAAATTACAAAGGCTTACTCTTGGCATAGTAACACACAGGAGAGTATCCAAATTCTTTACAGACATTCTTGAAAGTGAAAAGTGGTAATAAAAGTATAATCAAAATGTACAATATTCCCTTCAGGATGAGAGGCATCGGGGAACATGCTCAACTGTGTTATCTGAAATCTAAGCAGACGCAAAGAAAAATCTGGACTTGTTCATTCTTCTCCAACCACTTAATGAGCACAGACACAGCACTGTTATTGTTTTCCTTGTTAATGCAGATATGCATTTCATCCCAAAGAAACAACCATTTATTCAGGGGAAAAAAGGTACAAGTATTTTTTGCAGTCCTTGCAATTAGGGCAGATTTTTGCTGCTCTCAGCTCCAATTGTCAGAGGTTGTAAATATTGTACATTAGAAAAAAGCCACAATTGAATGATTCCTTGAATATGTCTTTTCCTCATGTGATTTTCAACTGAGAAGTGCTTAGATTAGAAACAACCTTATCTTCATGCTGCAATTCCTTTTGCCAGCAGTTTGTTTGCTGCTGTAAAGGTGCTTCCATCAGCAGCAGAGAACAATGACAGCTGAGGGGCTAAAATCCAGATTCTTGCAAAACACCAAAATCATAAATACTCACAAATTAGAAACCACAGAGAGAGTCCACATCTGTGAAGTTTTAAATTTTGAAATAACTTCACAGCAACAAACAGAAAATAAAAGGCTTCCATAGTCTTAGTAGAATATAATAAAAATTATTGATGATGACAAACATGTAATACCGCCAACATTTAGGTAAAACTAGTAATTAACCAAAATACAGATGGTAAAAAAACCTGTCCTATGATAAGTCACCTATCAAACAAATTATTTTGATTTTTTCTCAAGCTGCCTATTTTCAGAGGAGTGCTCCATCTGATAGTGACTCCTGTAATCAGTACAATTCAAGCAAAAGTTGCATTAAATAATTTTGTCTCCATGTATTTTAGTAAAATGTGATTTTACTGGGTGAGACATAATTTTGCTCATATTGTGAGAGCTCTTAGTGAACCTCACTCATGGGTATGCAATTCCTGGTGCTGGACACTGCACAAACCAAACCAAAGACAAGTTTCTCTATCAATCAGTGTATTCCAAAACAATCCAAGCGAGAGTAAGTTAGTAAGTTAAGTTACAGGTTTGCTGAAATGGAAGTGAGACTTCCTTTGGTAAGGCTCAGTCATTAACACAAGGAATGCCAGCTGTGGTGATGTGACTCGGAAGGACACCTCACATCCTGAACACCCTGGAGAAGTATCATCAGTCAAAAATATTTCTTTCCCGGTAGGATTTCCCAATGCCTCCCCCAACTTAGTTGCTTGACTCTGTGCTCAGCCAGCAAACATTGCTGTTAAACTGGTTTTTCAAGTGTTTTCAGACAGCCCTAAATAAATGCCCATCTAATATGGCTGTTGAAAACCTTCATGTTCCTATGTTTGCTGGGCCACCACAGGTCTTCATGTGACATTTAACTCCACATTACCATACTGCCTGTGCTGGGGTCAATTATGTATATCTGGATTGAATACATGATGCTTTTTCCTTCTTCAAAATTAATCTTTGTTAGCACTGCTTTTGTGCATAATGAAAATTTGTATGCAGTAAGGATTGGAATTTTATTGATGGAAAATTGAAGTACAAATCTTTTATTTGAAAAACCTTAAGTTTTCCATCAGGAAATGCTATTGAAAATTTTTCAGGAAAGCTCTAGTACAGTACACACCACCTTATTTTCCATGTAAAGTAGGCTCTTTTTGAACTACATTTCACAGAACACGTTGCATTCTGCCTTTCAAGAGACACAAGGACAAGGACAGCAAGGAAGCATGGAAGGTGCTGCTCATGGGGCCCCACTTAAAGTACAACCCAGAGGCAAGCCCAGGACATAGATGTAAATGAGAAACAGAAATTTAAGTTTAAATCACCATAGGACATAAAATGAGTGATGTTATATTAAAAACTCTTATTTGATTTCTAATTTTTAAGAAGATCCGTAAACCAAAATATATACAAATCAAGAAAGTTTTAAATTAAATCTGCACAAAAATTTCCCTAAGAAAACCCCCAACATGCAATTTGGTGAAAAATTAATTAGATGCTGAAGTCTGCCTCCAGCCCTAAATTCAGGCTTATCTTTAATGTCAACCTCACATATCAGATAATTTTAAATTAAAATTATCTGTTAAAGCTTCACAATCGTGTATGCCTGATGTCTCCATTCTTTGAAGCCCTAATCTTGAACACTATTTACTGTAAGGTATCTTTTCAAAATGTTTTGATTGCCCAGATTATTCTTTGTCCTTTCTTTCTGTTTCCACCTTAACATGTAAACACAGCCCTGAAAATTCCTTTGGTCCTTCAACATGCTGCATGTTGAAAATGATGACAGCAAAGCAAACAAAAGACTGTCAGACAAGCTGCATATTAGGCATTTTCTTTGCTCATTACACAATATGGTTTTACCCTCTAAGCACCTCACCCTGTTATTTTGCTTTACATTTTAATTCTTTTTCATCGTTATTAGAAACCAGTCTTTTTATTTATTTCAGTATTTTTTGTTTTGAATGCTACAGTTGTTGTTACAGTGAATTTGACATCTTGTATTACTCTAAAAGGTGCACCCCAGAGTGCTTCAGATAGCAACCATGCATCATGGGGACTATAAACCAAAGTAACCAACCAAGCTTGAAAAACAGCCTGTGAACCTTGCAGAAAATTATGTCTCTGCTTTAAAAGATCTAAGTAATTCACTCAACCAAGAGATTTTGTGTAGATGTAATTAACTTCATTAATTCTACCCTGTAAATGCAAGCAGTAATTGGAGGGAGGGAGGAGGGTCCATCATTAAGTTTCTATCTCTTTCTCTCAGAGGTTTCTGACACATGGCTGGAAGGGGAAGGGGAAGAAATTCCTTTAAACAAGATTTTCTGCCAATAGGTGAAATTTTGGGTTCTTTACACCTTGTCCCTTTAGCTGCTCCTTCCCATCCTGTTCCTGCAGGAGGTTTCTGGGTCCCACAGGTGGCAGTGGCTCTTGAGCTAACTGTGGCCTCATTCAAAACAGCCAGCACTCATTGACAGCAACAGAAAAGTCCAAGCAAGTGGCAGAAATTAAGTCAGTAATAAAAAAGATGTATTAATTATCATTTATGAGTGCAATAGTCGATATTGTTCAACTGTTTAACCCTCCTGCGGCTCATAACACCATCTGCTTTATGACTTCAGCAGTCAATACTGCATTTGCTGTTTCGTATTTCCTTTTAAAACAACTGTCTCCAAACTCTGGCCACTATTACAGATTTTACAAACTCTCAAGCCACAATCCTCCACCGCTCACAGCCCAACACAGAGCACAAGCAGAACCCCACCCTGCTGGAACGTGGGAGCAGCAGCTGCCAGTGGCACCCAGCTGCTCTTCAGCTCCCCTGAGCAACATCAGGCCATGGGTGCTGATCCCCCACAACTCCTCCAGCATGCCTTAGTTTCAAGATACTTTTCAAAGTATATGAAAAGAAAATGCATTCCCCCACGCCCACATTACTGATTTGTAACCCAAAGAGTGAATTTAGCCCAGTTTAATAAGAAAATTAACAATAGATGCTGTTATCCTCATTCCAACAATTTATACATTAGTTTGTCGCTCCCAACAAGTTGTTTTGTCACTAACTTTGTAGTTTGTCACTAACCTGTTCCTGTGCATCTCCCCCCCCACCTGAGCCCAGCACAGCAGATCCCTCGGCTCTCCACTACTGCAACAGAGCACTGCAAACAGCCTCTTCTAGCTCAGAGCATCACACACATGGCAGACACTGCTTGAGTTTGGTTTCCCCCCTACAAAGAAGCATGCATCCTAGGGGAAATCCCAGCCAGACGGGCAGAACAGACAAGTTTTCACCTTTCTCCTTTTTTTAATACAAGTTAGGCCAGAGAAAAGGTTGCTGGATTCAGCCCTGGCACAAACCACAGTTCCTACATGTTTCCTTCTATGAAACTAACCTATAAAAAACAACTTTTACATTTAGGCTCAGTAAGTAAAGTTCCAAGTCTTCCACAATTCTTTTTTGGAAATGGAACTGTTTTTATGTCTTATTAAATGCCCTCCTTATTGCTTAAGCATTAAATGGGTTTCTTTGCTGGATCCCAATTCTCTGTTTCATAAGATGGGTATGCTTTTCTCCCTTCTTAATATATGCCTACACATTTAGCTATAATTTTAAAAAGGCTTAATTAAACAGCTCCCTTTATTAGGGAATCCTGAAAGCACTGCACACATATGCCAAGCCCCAGAAATCTTTGGATTTTTAACCCAGCATTTCTAGCAAAATTATACTAATAGCTGCAACATTTACTCCCATAACATCAATTATCTTTGTCATGATTAAAATACCAAAAAAAAATTTGCTTTCTACTAAACACAGAGAATAAAACTTGCATTGTGCCTGCTCTTTGCCAAATTGACTACAGTCATTAAGGAGGATAAGTGGCAATTCAGAAGAGGCATCCTTACATCAAGCAATACAATTTTCAAAAGAAAAGAACCTTTTCAACGATGTAAAAATACTTCATAGATGAGATGTGGTCCCAGTCTTTCTGCTAACACATGGAATAAACTTGAAAAGTCAGTATATTGGGCCTGCCTCAGATTCCACAAAGGCACTTGATTGCAGAGTGGCATAAATTGTGTCTGGAAACTCAATGGAAAATAAATACATTCTCAAGAATAGCATCAATAAAAACTGGGTACCAAATA